AATCAAGCATAAAGTTTTACATCGATAATCAATGTAAGAACTACATCGATTTTATCGATGTAAAACTTTACACTCTTCCACCCATTGCATTTTTCAAAAAGCAATGGTCACTTTGACAGTTTAGTGTAAAACATTATCAGTGTATTTTTACACCGGTGGTGTGTTACATTGATTCCAAATGCAGCCTAAGTTTTTTGCACTTTACAAATTTGTATTTGTACTCATTCGAAACTGAGCTAGCCTAAAGAAAAGTGCTCGTATACTTGGTGCAATATCATTGGCCATAATAAGGATTCTTGTTACAAACTACACAGGTGCCTACCACATTTCAAACTTGGCTACTGATCTAAAGTAGCATGGGAACCCTCCCGACTCAAGCAATTCTCCTAGCGCTCCTCCACAACTTACTATTGAGTAATACAATCAGCTTATTAAGCTAGGAGAATTGCTTGAGTCTAGGCTGCATTTGGAAACGATGCAAATAAGTGTAAATGCAAATATTTAGAGTGTAAAACGGTTCATATAAATTGCAAAATTGAGTTAGTTTTGCACTGACAAATTTACCTTCTTACCAAATAGAATTTTAGCTATAATGGATGCAAACATGAATTCCGATAAAGCTTATGTTTTTTTTTTTTTTAATCAAAAGACCACTTGAATGCAAATTTACTTCTTTTTTATTGATGTACTTTTACATCTTATTATCAATGTAAATATTTGTCAATACATAAATGTAATGTTTCCAAACACAATCAAGAGTGAACTAGAGTGCAAATTTACCCTGAACTGGGATTACACTCCATTTGCATCGTTTCCAAATGCAGCCTCAATGAGGTGAAACCTAGAGACCTTTTATTGCCAACCTAGTAGGTATGCCTTTTTGCATGTTTGCTTTCTTAGCCATGGAAATGTTGTTTCCTAGTAGCTAGGTCATTGATACCAACTCTATGGAACATATTTTTTCTAACATCAACCTTCCAACCACGACCCAACCTGCTAACTCGATCCTCTCATCCACTCATCACCCTTCCCAATGGTAGCACCACTACCATTTGAGTTCATCCATTTCCTTTACTATAGAACCTACATCATTCTTTGTTGCCATTAAATACCCAAACTGGCATTAGGACATGGTTGCTAAAATGCAAGCTTTAGAGGCAAACAATACTTGGTCTCTCACTTTGCCTCTTGGGAAGCATGCTATTGGCTGTTAGTGGATTAATGAAATAAGGTACAGAAGTGATGGTTCCATAGAATAGTAGAAAGCCCGTTTGATTGCAGAGCGATTCACACAAGCCAAAGGTATTATTGATCATTACCTTGGGATGTTCTCCCCTATGGCTAAAATGAGTATTGTTTGGCGTACGTCTCCTTGCTGTAGCCATTGCTAAAAACTGGTCAATTTCTTGGTTGGACATTAACAATACTTTCTTATATGGGAATCTCAATGAAGAGGCCTATGTGCATATATAGTTCACCCAGTTTTGTTAAACAAGGGGACGAGAAGTATGTTTTCAAATTGAAGAAATCATTTTTATGGCCTAAAGCAAGCTTCACAAATTTGGTTTTCCAAATTTTCTAATGTTCTACAACAGGTTCTCTCACTTTCATGCTAATTACTCTTTCTTTATGAAAACATTAGGGGCCTCTTTCATTATCATCTTAGTCCTGGCTGGTAATAGCTCTTCTCACATTAACCAGCTTAAGTGTTTCTTGTACTCCCAATTTGCAATTTCAATTGAAATACTCTTGGGTCCAAGGAAAATATTCTTGTTGGGTATTGAATAAAATACACACTTGAACAATCAAGTGGATTGAGATCAAGGTCCATTCATGATTGTTCCTTTCATGTACTAGACATCTCACTTGCCATCTTCAATATTTGACTATAACCATGCCTGATCTCATTTACTTAGCCAACCGTCTCATCAGCCAATTTCTTAATGCACCCTGTGAAGCTCAATGGCAAGCCACACTATGAGTACTGCGTTATGTTAAGTCTACTGTTGGTCATGGTATACTCCATGTTGCTAGTTCACTCTCCATCAATGCCTACACGAACAGGGATATGGTTATTCATCCACTACTAAACATCCAATACCTGGCTATTGCATACTTCTTGGCCATGGTCCCATTTTTCTTAGAAATCCAAAAAACAATCTATTGTTTCCTAATGATCAATTGAAAGTGATAATACTCTACGGCTCATATGGTCTTTGAAGTGCAATGGCTGACTTATTTACTTTAAGACTTGGGAGTGCCACCTTAACTGACACACTTGCATTGTGACAATAAAGCCAACCAGACATATCAAAATAGATTACCATTTCATTGGAGAGAAGATTCAAAGCGGCCTCATCAAGCCCATGCATATCTCTTTTGATGCACAATCACAAATTGCAGATGTTTTCACAAAGTCCATAGGAGAGACACCTTTCACAACTAATAGAAAATTGATCCATACAATATTATATTTCCCAACTTGAGGGAGAGTATTAGTGTATACAAGGTTTAAAATATAGATACAGTCTACGTATCGGGCTTTAACTTCACATGATTTTATTTTATTTTTATTTTTTTTAAACAGGTTCAGTCGATATAAGGCCTGGCTACCCTGTGCAAAAGGTCTTACCTTGAAATTCCATGTATTTCCCATGTTGGTGGGTCACCGATATATGATATATATCAGCTGATATGGGTACATTATGAAATTTTGATCCTTAAATGTATACATAGGCCCATGTTTCACATAAACATGGTTTGGCCGAAATCTGTGCATGCCCCATGCACTAGTCGTCCACCACACCGACGCGACTTGTTGGAACTCTCTACTAATCCTAACCTATCTCTAACTCTAACCTTACTATCTCTTCTCTGTTATCCCTTTCTTGTATATCCTTATATTTTAATTTTCTCTTGTACATGATCGACACTCTCGTATATATTCTGGAACCAAACCAATTGAAGTTAACATGATTGAATATTCTCACTTCCTTCAAATTTATCAAATCGGGTTAGTGATGGTATTCATTTTGAGATTTAATATCAATAAGCTTAAGAGTTAATTAAGACTGGTTTTACTTGTTCCAACCCGATTGAGACCTGAACAGGTCTAATACTTAAACCCTATGGGGATTTGAATTGGGTTTACTTTTGTGTATTTTCTCAACGGCTTGGGTTTGATTCTACTCTAACCAAGCTCATATCCAATCCATTCACTACCCTACTCGCAAAGGATGAGCTCAAAGTTGTAAATGACGGTTTGAATGGAGTTATTCTTATTGGCCTAGAAACCGTAGGACAGGTTGAGTCTCGGCTAGCTTTACTCAGCTTGCAGCCCAATCTTTTGAGCCATGAATTATTCTTGGTCTAATGTCCCTGAGAATTAGGGTTGTACAATATTTTAAAAATCAATTTGGAACTGAACCACTTTGGTCATCAATTTGACCGTTTGGTCTGATTGGATGGTCCAGCGTAATTTAAAATAATAAAAAATAAAAAATAATTAAAATAAAAATGGCCAAAAAACCATTATCTGGGTTAAACAGGTTGGTGGTTTGGCCGCCCAAGTCAGCAGGTTGTTGACTAAGTTAATGGTTTTTGGCAAAAGAACGGTTTAGGGGTGAAACGAAATTGGTTGTCTGGACATAGTTTTCAGGCTGAATGGTCCAACCGACCATCTGAGTCAATGACAATTCGAAAACTGGGAATGTAGATGGACTATCTAATTCAACTCTAAATTTGATTATTTTGGATTTGGATGTTAAAACTTGTTGATTGATAATCAGATATATGCATCATATCTTTTAAAATCAGAGTCAATAAAAAATTATTATATATAATTGATAAATTTAATATTAATTTTATATTTCTATATACTTATTATACATGTGTAAATTAAAACAAAGTAGTTTTATTAATTTTTATTTTATTTTTTTGATCATTTAAGACATAATAAGATGGATGCAAATCTCTCTCTCTCTCTATTACGGAAATGGATGTATTCTCCTTATGCTAAATGGAATCTATTCGTGCGAATAGATTAACGGTCTCATGTGCAAGCAGTTCGTGCGTGCAGATGGAAGCTAAATAGAACAACCCAATCGTGCGAGAGTCTAGGTTTTGAGTCTCCCTCTTCGACAGAACTCCTTGAACTTTCGAGTTTCCTTGCCGTTGCAAAGGGAGAACGAAGGAGGCTTTTCTGTTTTGTTGTCTACTTTCCAACAAATATCCGAATTGGATGCGAATATAATTGACTCCAATTCGAAATCAGCTTCAATACTCACAAGACTATATTTACACCATTTGCACATCCTTTTATAGCCGTGCATTAGGAGTATCATGTTCTCAATGCAAGGTTGCAACGACTCCTCACACAGGGCGTCTCACAACGATCTCATAGGCACATTCCACCATGCATTGGGAATATCTTCCGTACTCATATGTTATTATTCACGGGAGATATTGTCAATGCATAGTGAGATTTGCTTCTGTGAGGTCGGTGTGAGGTGCCTGTGTAAGGAGAAGATCTCAATTCGTGTGAGTGTTAGTGAGCAACTAAGCATGGTAGGATGTGCATGTGAGGCGTCCTGTATGAGGAGCAGATCCGGTCTCACGGGATCTATTCCTCACAAATGAACACCTCACATGCACATCCACCCTGCATTAGGAATATCTCCCGTAAATAATAACTAATAAGTCCGGGAGATGTTCCAAATGCATGATAGGATGTGCGTGTAAACGACTGTGAGGCGCCAGGTGTGAGGAGCAGTTCTTGTCTCCAAAACGTCCAATATGAATGTGGGGGCACAGATGTGAACTCTATTTTATTTTCGTGTAAAGCAGACATGCACTTGTAAAGTTTGTCGGGTGACGAACGGTGTGTACTAAACTATTAGTGCCTCAACGTCACCTCAAATAACACGTCATACGGCCAATTTGGTTAATAAATAAACAAATGAATGAATTAAAGAAGCACAGACAAGCACGCTCTGTCTAGAGAGCAGATAAGAAGTATTCTCCCGACAGGTGTCAGCCTTCAGATTTTGGCAACAGAGTCGGCCCAAGATCACGGATCTCTTCAAAATGGTGGTTTGTTGTTGATTAATAAATCTTGTCAGCTCTCCTAAATTGACGAAGTTGGCGTTGCAGAGAAGTTGGGGCATCCATGGCGTCTGCTCTGAGTCTGAGCTCCTCGTTCAAACCAGCATTGTTGACGACGACCGGAAATGCCACTCTTGCTAATACCACAAGATCTTCCTCTTTCTTCCCTTACCTTGTTGGTTCACCTTCTCTCCCAAGCGTCGTCACTCTCAAAGTTCCTCGAAGGCCATCATCTGCACCAGTTGTCAGAGCATCTTCATCTTCTTCTCCTTCTTCTACTGCAGTGGCCGAGCCTGAAGGCATCAAGGTCTTATTCCTTTTCTTTTTTGCTTTCCGACTCATTCAGCTACTCACCTTTTCTTGTCAGTTGCTTACTCTTCTTCAGTTCCGAACTGGGTCGTGTCTGATATTTTGGTTTTCTGCATTTAGATAACTTCAGTGCCGACAAAACCGATTGAAGGACAAAAGACCGGGACGAGCGGCTTGAGGAAGAAGGTCGTTTTTTGGCTGTTTCTTCTGCCAGATTGCTTTATATAAGTTTTATTTTCTTTGCTCTATCATGAAATGAATGCTCTCCTGTTTATTTACAGGTTAAAGTTTTTATGCAAGAGAATTACCTCGCGAATTGGATCCAGGTTTTACTTCCACACATATATATTTCATATATATTTTTTTCATTCTTATCCTTTATTTCTGTTTGCATGATTAGGTTTTTAATAACTTTTGGATTTCTTTTCTTTCTTTTTCCTTTTCTGGTTTGGGGGATTAGGCATTGTTTAATTCTTTGCCGCCGGAGGATTTCAAGAATGGCGTGCTGGTATTAGGAGGTGATGGTCGCTTCTTCAATCGAGAAGCTTCTCAGGTATGTAATTTAATTCCTCTTTCCTCAATTTATCATGTTCCATTTGATTTTTTTTTTTTATATTTATGTTCCTTCGATGTTGGGATTTGAAATGCAGATAATTATCAAAATTGCTGCAGGGAATGGTGTTGGGAAAATTCTAGTTGGCAGGTGAGTAGCTCATTTGGATACTGATATTCTTTGAAGCAACTATTATTGCTATTCTTTTTCCTTAAGTTGTCATTGTGGAATATATTTTGCTTCTTTAATCATTCAGGACTGCAAATGAAGTATCAAGATCTCTGTTGCTTCTGCTTTGCAACCCGGTAGTATTCCCAATCAGTTGTGTCTTGGTTGATGCATTGTTGCAACTATGAGAATACATGGAAATCCATCAAACAAGAAGTTACCTTCCAGTATAAATCATAAATTGGGTAGGGAAAAAGGATCATCTTAATGCTGTTCCTTAATCACCCTAAGAAAGGGGATTCTGTAGAGGAAGGGTTGTGGGTTGAGCTGGGGAAATATAAGGTATGGCAGGATAATTCAATACAAAATGTGATTTAAGCTTAATTCAGGAAAATTGACCACTAAGGGCTGGATTTACTCAACATTCATAGAGGAATCTGTCAAACTTCTTGGTAGGAATTGCTCAACTGCTGTAATGGAATTCTCGTCTCTAAACACTTGACCAATTCCTACCAAGAAGTTCAACAAATTGCATTAAAGAATGTTCACTATAATCTGGATGCATTTCATTTAATTGATCTTGGTTGTCTAAAGCGACACTTAGGTTTAATAAAAGATTGTAATACCCTACAACTTGAAAACTAACTCTCTTACAAGCATAAATTCCTAAGCAAACTAAGTAAATATTATCTTCCACTTGAGCAATAAATTAATTACTAAATACACCCAAAAATCAATTCAAAACATCTAGATCAAGTCAATGTCAAATTGATGTGCATAAGATGACACATTGATGTCCCAAATGCTGACATGCAGGTAGGTGTAATCACTATACTTGTGCATATAATGGCATATTGATACCCCAAATCAGCCCTGTTGGAGAAGCCTTGGGTCTGGTCCCCCCCCTACAAACTATCTCAATTCTTCCTACTCCCTTACATGAGATATTTTTGGTAGGCTACTTGGCTGAATACCCTGATTCTGAGATGGCTGAATCTGGGTTCTATCAGCTGCAGAGAGATTTTCTGTGGAAGGATTGGGAAGAGGAAAAAAAGATCCATTTAGTAAGTTGGGGTCAAATTTGCTCCCCTGTGGATCAAGGGGGTTTGCGGGTTTGGAGACTTAAGTTTTTTAGCATGGCTTTGCTTGGCAAGTGGCTTTGGAGGTTTGGGGTTGACAGAGATAGTTGGTGGAGAGGCCTAATTGCTGCTAAGTATGGTGTGGATAGAGGAAATTGGATAACCACTTTTTCTCCTTCCTCCCTGGGCTGTTCACTTTGGAAAAAAATTATGGAGCTGCTTCCCAATTTTAGCAGATGTCTCAAGCCAATTTTGGGAAATGGCGGCAGACTGGTTTTCTGGAATGACCCCTGGTGTACTGACTGTCCTCTTGCTGAGGTTTTTCCTCAGCTACTCCAGCCGGCAGTTGATCAGGATGCATTGGTGGCTGACTGTTATGAGCTCATGGGGAGTGTGGTCTGGAATCCTACCTTTTGGAGAAGCTTTAAGGACTGACAGTTTGAAAACTTTGCTAATTTACTCCTGCTGTTGGGTCAGGAGGTGAACACCATGAACACCAGCTTGGAGGATGGTAGGACCTGGATCTGGTCTACAGATGGCCTCTTTAATGTTAAATATTTTGCTCACAAGTTGACGGTTTGCAGTTTTAGTTCAGTTCCTACTTTCAGGATTTGGAACCCTCTCCCCTCGAAAGTTAATGATCTAGTGTGGGTAGCAATAGCATCTCTAAATAGGTGTCTCACTAAGGCAAATCTGATCAGAATGGGTGTCCAGATTCTTGATCAGAGCTGCAGTTTGTGTGGTCAGGAAATTGAAGATACTGATCACCTCTTTCTCCACTGCAGTTTTGTTTCCCACTTATGGTGGCACTATCTAAATGCTATGGGGATTGCCTGGGTCATTCCCAGCTCTGTTCTGTATCTGCTGTGGGGCTGGAACTTGCAAGGTCTTCGGAGTTAGCTTCCTGTGTCTGGGATTCTATTCCAACGGCTGTTATCAGCACTATGTGGGCTGAAAGAAACAGAAGAGTGTTCCATCAGAAATCTTTGGATGTGGAGGAGCTGATCTCTTTGTCCTTTGGAAAGTAAGTGTCCTGGATCTCAGCTGCTAAGGGGTTCAATCAGCATAGCCTTGTGTGGCTGCTTAGTCCTAGGAGTCTTTGGGAAGTGTAGTTTTGTTGTACAATAGCTCTTTTGACCGGCCAGGGTCTTTGTCCTTGGAGGCTGTTTGTAATCCTGTTTGATTAATAAAAAATCTTACCTTCTTTTTTCAAAATAAGAAAAGAGTGCCCTTCCCTAGCTGGTCCTCAATAACTTAAACACCCCAATTCTGAAGGAACCAGGATTGTTAATGGCAGAACCATCAAAGTTGAACTTGATAATGCCATCAAAGAAGAGGAGTCCAAGCTTGCTATACTTTTCCTTGAAATGATGCAAAACTAGCTATTCTATGCTGTACTCAATCAATAAGGACACCTTTAAATTCATCTCTCATTGAAATCCAGTGGTTAAGCCTTACTGTGACCAAATCAATCAAAGTAGTAGCTACTGCTCCTTGTATAAAAGTCTGGGTTTCCCCTTCATTAATTTTCAAATCCTTACAATTTTTCTTATTTCCGTTTGTTTCCTTTCTCTTTGATGGATGATTGAATTCTGTTACCTTTCATTCAAAAGTAGTGATGCTGAGCTGTCTTTTCTTGATGTATAATTATTCTTTCTAAATGATGGACATAAGTTCCATTTGTGGAAGTTTATATAATCCTTAACTGGATTTGCCTTCCATAACCCATTTACCACTTCTAGGTTTGAACTTACTTGGAGGTGGTTCCATGTGGGCAGCTCTTTTTTTTATTTTTCCTTAATTTTTCTTTTGAGAAAAGGGAATGTATTAGATAAGCAAAAATTAAACAATTTTCTCTTAATAGTAACAGGTTTTTGTAGGTAAGGTTCCGAGTTGAGTTGCCCAATTTAAACAATTTGGACTTGTTCGTGAGTGATGAATTCTACTTTAGGGAATTATCAAAAAAAAAAAAAAAGAATTCTACTTAAGGGGTTAAGCCCTCTAAACCTTTTGTGGCTAAAAAGATTTCGATCTTTGCAGTATCTTTAACAAATAAGTTGAGAATTTGAAATAACTTAGAAATAGTGGTTGTAGATTTTGAAAATATTTTTGGGATGAGCCATAAATTGAATGTTTTTGTCATCCCTTTTCTTGGAGCTCTCTCTGCTCATGTTTGTATCCTATGCTTGAAGAATGGTGAGGATGCCAATCACTTTTTCATTTCATGCTCTTACATATCGATTATATGGAACCATTTCCTCCCTTTGTTTGGAGCTTCTTGCCAACAACTAATGATATGACGGATCTCTTCATCTAATTTCCTTCCTCTAAATACCAATATAGGGAAGGCAATGTGGAGATTCATGAGGGTTCCTGCTCTTGTTGAAAATTTTATATTTTATGGCAAATTTCAAATCCATTTTCGTGTAATTTTTACTTTGTTTTAATAATGGATTGACTTATTATTCTTATTATAAGGCGTTGGTTTATTAGTTACATTTTGATGTCACCAAAGGTATTGTAAGGGCATTAGGTGTTTAAGTGAGGCTCTTACATGAGACATCTAATGACTTGGTTTCTTATAGACTTGAAACATTTCAACTATGGGTAAGCCTGAGAAGCTCACTTATGGATGAAGTAGTAAGTGGTAACATCTCAACCATTGGAATGGAGATTCCAAGCTTGCATTTGAAATTTGATTTTAAAGGTATTACCATTATTAAATTGATAATTATTTTTGAAAATCTTTGACAAAATGATTTTGCTGGAATCCCAAGGAATGTTGGAAACCTCGGTTGACAACTTGACATTGATCTGTAGAAGGATAAATTGTAATCAACTTTGCATGAAAAGATGGCTATTTAGGGGGCATTCTACAATATGAATGTTTTTGTTTTCATTTATTTTTTGGAATTGCCACATCAGCAAAAAAAAAAAACAAAAACGAAAACATGGTTCTTGAACTCTGTTTTTGTTTTCAAAGGAAAAGCAAGTTGGTTTTGTTTCAAAAAACAGTACATGTTTTTGGAACCAATAAAATATTGGTTTCAAAACAAAAACAAAATTTTTAGTATATAAATTATATGATTTATGGAACACAATGTTGAATGATCAGATGAAAACATGTTTTTGAAACCAGATTCAAGAATGTGTTTTTGGTTTCAGTTTTGAAAACAGAAAACACACACATAACCGAGAACTTGTTTTTTTGTGTTTTTGTTTTAAGAAACAATCTGTTTTCAAACAAGATGGTTTTGATTTATTTTTGGAACTGGCAACAAGAAAAACAATTCACGTTGTAGAATGCCCCTTAATGTTTTAAAGAATAGGGATATAATTGCAAATGTGTTGTTAGGCTTCTTTGCAATCACAGGGGAAAATTATAATCTTAACCATTGGTTAGAGAGAAAGCATTATGATTCCAATCCAACTTGGTGGTGCTCTTTCTGCTAAACCCCCTAAAAACAGTGTTACATGGACTATTTTACTAATTTGTACCTTTTTATAGAGATATCATTGAGTCCTTAGGGTTTGATTGTATCTGTGTCCATGCAACACTGCCCATAAGTAAGCCCTAAGAAACCTTAAAGGTATCTCAGACCCCCATTGTGCTTTTCATGTAGTATTGGGCTGTTTAGAACATGAACAGGAATGAAATTGCTTTCTCCTTCTAGGGTTACTGGGCTTAACAGCTTGAGACAAGTGGAGCATGGTCATCAGGAGGAATAGGCCTAAATGATTTGACTAGATAAGCTATTTATTCTATCTATATGATTGAATTAGTTTAGTGATTTGCACACTAGAGAACATCCTGTGATTGTGCAATTTAACTTGTGATGCAAATTGAAGACTTCACTTCTTGATTCAAGAATTGCATGATTTCTATTACATGTATGGGATAAA